CCACCCCCAAACACATTTTGGCAAAAAAAACCAAAACCCAAAAATCTAATCAAAACAAGAGTCATGTCTGCAAGACTTAACTATAAGTGACGAGCTTCTCTGTTGTACATTCCTATAGCCAAATGAATGGCTCCACTTCGACTCAACAGACTGCTGACACAGCTTATGTGTATGAATGCATTTACAGAGATAAAAGATACACACCAAATTGTTAATAGCTCCATGTTCTCTAAAGCATGCATTCTCAACAGGAACAATATTTCTACTGATGGAATGAAAATTGGCTCTTTGGTGGGAGGAGGTGGGTGTAAAAAACGTTTTAGATATTACAATGGTCTGTGGCCCTCCAAAGAGTCATAGCACATAAACAGACATATAGCATATACATAGTATTAAAATTTCATGGATGGGGATGATTAGGAGAAAATGTCTAAAAAGGCTACTTCAGGGGATGATTAAAAAAAAAAAAAAAAAGGTTGAGAAGTACAAATTGCCAGTTATAATAAAGTCACAGGGATATAAACAATAGCATGGGGAATATAGTCAATAACATTGTAATAACTATGTATGTGTCAGATGGGTACTAGACTTATCAGGGTGATCACCTCATAAGTTATATCAATGTCTAATCACTATGCTGTACACCTGAAACTAATATAATACTGCACGTCAAGTATAATTGAAAGATATTTTATATATATATATATATATATATATATATATATATAATCTGCATCTGACTTATCTCTGAAACTACCAGGACCTGATAGAATCCTGGTATAGGTATGGTAAGGGTTCAACGCAGATTTGCTGAGTAAACCAGACAGTGGTTGGGTGAAAACCACAGCAAGGAAGGCCACCTGCCAGACCGGGGAGCCCAGCCCCCACCAGCCCCACCCTCCCCAAGCCTCACCTTCCACATGAGCAGCACCAGCAGCGCCAGCACCAACAGTCCGGCCAGAACAGCCAGGAGGATGACCCACCAGGGGACTCCCTCTGCCACCACAGCCACCGGGTCCAAGTACACCGTCACTGGGATCTAGGCAGCAAGAGGTTAACGGAGCAAGGCTGGGGCAGCGGGAGAGAAGCGCCGCCCCCACCCCACCCACCTCCCAGCCCTGCAGCTTACCACTGTGGAGGCATCTCTGAGCAGCAAGTTTTTGATGGAGGACTTCACAGTGATGTTGGCTCGGACAATCACTTCCAGGGACTTCACAGTTGAGTACTCCTAAGGAAGCAGGAAAGGAGACCCTCTTCCTAAATGCCCTGTGTCCCCTCCCCTCCCCCCAGCTCCTGAAATTATAAATGGAATGGTGCCCAACACAGAGGGTGTTTCTGCCCGTCTTGAGTTAAACGTGTGCTGCATTTGGACAGGGAGGAAGTAGAAGGGAAAGTGAGTCCCGGAGGGGCTGCCAGGGAAGAAGATACCCTTCCCAGAGCCCCAGAAGTGCTCTCACCTCCAGGAAGGTGCTGTTCCAGAGACGACCCCAGACGTGCAGCACAGCCGCCCGGTCAAAGCTGTAGAGTGGGCAGCTGAACACAATGCAGTTGGCTGTGCCCCGGGCGCAGTCCTGGGGACCAGGACAGGCAGGGCTCTGAACTACTGAGCCCGCCCAGGGCCCAGCACCCTCACAAACATAGTCACACTGACAAGCTCACCCTGCCTGTCCACAGCTTTCATCCATCCCATGAGCCCTCACATCTTGAATCCCCTTATCCCCTTGCTCCTCATTCGTATTTCTCCCATTTTCCTTACCTGGTCTCAATCTCCCCTCCTCCAGGAAGTCTTCCTGAACTAACCCTATGGTCCAAACTAGTGGCTTATCGGGCTGGCCAAATGGCTCAGTTTGTTAAGAGCTCGCTCAAGAGTGCGAGCTCTGAGCAACAGCGGTTCGAGTCCCAGCCTGAGCTGAGCAACCGCTGAGCTGCCAACAGGTGGCAGGATGGCTCAGCTTAAAAAAAAAAAAAAATAGTGGCCTACCCCAAATCTGGGCTATTTGGCTTTGAAATGCATGGAGAGCAAAGAGAAGGTCTCTTACTTGATAGCAGCTGGCAGAGTAGCTTCCCCAATTGATGCTGGTTACCTAATGTTGGTCCCATTTATTGAGCACCTACTACCTACCAGGTACTTATCTCATTTAAGCTTCACAACTATCCTGCAAGGTGCATATTATTATCATCCCCATTTTTCAAACTAGGAAATTAAGGCTCAAAGAGGCCAGGTGGCCTGCCTAAGGTCACACAGCTAGCAAATCTGGTAAGTGGTAGAGCAGATATTTTTGCCAAGCCGTATTTGGCAAAGCGTGATTCCTACATTAAGGCCAAACTCATTGAAGGAGGACCAGGCTGTTCCAGGAGCTGCTGGGGAGAGCGGGGACCCAGGCCCTGCTCCTTCCAAGCCTGACATAAACCCATTTGGCCCATTTCCATCTAATGGCCCATTTGTCTAAAAACTGTGTTATATTCATCATACTTCATATAAGAATGGCTTTGAGGGCCGGCCGAGTGGCGCGATGGTTAAGAACTGGCTTGGGATGCCAGAGGGCC